ATTAACACCTCCAACCGTTCCTCGTACAACACGCCTTGGAAGAAGAGTACACTTTCCTGCCCGTTTTCTTTAACAGTGGCTTTTACTCTCACCTTCATCGAGTATACAGTTTGCACTTTCACTCTAGAAGGGGGTACTGTAGTGTCTTAATTTTCTATCCACTTTATCTGACCTGATTGTACACCTTGTTTTAATATGCGCAGTACCGAATACACAATACAAAATTCTGTTCGTAAATACACGCGTGTTCTCGGAGTGTTGCTGAGGAATTAAGCAAGCATTATCAGTTATCGTCAAGCGGTCCGTTAACTGTCGCAGTCATCCATTTCAGCTCCTCTACACCTCATCGACCGGAACCACACATCACAAGAACAGGATCAATCGACCAGCGGACAATCCTTCTGTGAGTCCGTTCCTTGTACCGTTTATTTCATTTATATTCGTATATGTAGTATTTTTTGCACTCCAGAGGCTCGCAAAGCGTTCGCTGAATTGGAACAGGCTATCTCCAACATAGCCGTGGTTTCACATCACATACCGGACGCACCTTTAGCGCCCACCACAGACACATTCAACGTAGCGATGCCTGCTTGGCGTCGTGTCACCAATCGGGTGACGAGCCAGCAAATAGCGTAACCTTTCCTCGTTAGAAGGAGTATAGAACTGAAGGATCACGGCTTTTAGAACGTCGTAGACCTTCTTCTCCGGAGGTTTAAGCATTATATCTCTAATGGCGGACATTCGGTCGCCAGAAATCGCCTCTACCGCGTTAACGTATTTGGGGCGCTGGCTCCGAGCGTTACGCATAATAAACTGCGTTTCTAACGCAGCGAAACACACCTCAGTATTGTTGTAGTAACCAATCACATCCCGTTCTCAATGTACATTTCCTCCTGTGCATCTCATTGTTTTATCACGCCAAGGCTACCTCTTCGGTCAGCACGTGTTTCCTTTCACTTTCCACACGCTTGCTCACGCCTCTGTATCTCTCTCTTGCTCTGCAGGTCTTTATAATACACGTCGTCCTCCGTTTCGTGAATCGCCTCGTTCTCTCCTCGTACGAACGTACGTTTGCGACCTATACGTATTAGCCCGGGGTACCGATAACCTAGTACCTATAAATTGGTGAGCCCTCATTTTATTTTATTTACGTTGGAGAATTGTCGTTTTCGGAGGAATTTTAATTTCTCTAGGTCACGTTTGTGCTAGAATTTCCGTGTATTTATTTGCACGGAAACACTCTCGTGGGTGCAATTTTAGATTATATTCACCCCCAGTTTGCGGTTTTATCATCTTTTACTATTGCATTTTTTTTTCCATTTTCGTTTTTCCAACGTAGTTTGTATCTTAGGTGCTATTCGGTAATATTTTTGTATCCCGTTCCTAAATCGCGTTTGAGTATGATTAGCCCCGACCATAAGCACTCCATAGATGGCGAGGCACTCTGGGCCCAAATCAGGGCCCCTGAGTTCATGCCGGAGGACCCAGAAGCATTCCTCGCACTTCTGGAATCGCGATTCCACGAGGCTCGTATCACCGGGCAACTATCCCGTTACCATAAGCTGTTATCCGCGATCCCGCGTGACATGCTTATCAACTTCAGGGATATTTACATGAATATCCCTGCGCACAACCCGTACGACGTGCTCAAAGAAGCACTTCTTCGTCGTATGGCAGTTTCCGAAGAGAAACGCATCCAGCTCCTCCTGTCAGGGATCCAATTGGGGAACCTCAAACCGTCCCAGTTGCTGCGCCAAATGCGCGCGTTAGTCGGCAACACCACACTGGACGACTCCGTACTACGCCAGATTTGGCTTCAAAGGCTTCCGCCATACGTTCAGAGTATTCTGAATGTCTTCGCACATGCCCATAGCCTAGACGAACTAGCGAAGGCCGCTGACCGAGTAATCTAGCAGGCCCAACTTTTCCAGCCCTCTTTGGCGAACATCGGGAGCCCGGAGCCAAACTTCGTCCATCAGTCGCTCCCAAACCCTGCTCCTGGTAAGCCCCTGCAAGAGCCCACGACAGAAATGCAGCTATTGTCCCAGCAGTTGGCCGAACTTCGTTTAGTCATGGCCACTATGCAAACCATCATCAACAATCTGCAGGCTACCCTTTCGACCTGTAGTCGAACCCGGTCCAACAACCGGCACAGGCGAACCCCATCCAGAGGCGGCCTGTGCTGTCACCACAGGCGTTTTGGAAATCTAGCCAGGAATTGCGAACCGCCGTGTTCGTTAAAAACTCAACAGGGAAAATAGTAGGCCGGCAGGCTCAGGGCGACTACCTCAACCGGCCCTCCTTCCCCTTGTCGCCTCCTTTTTATCTACGATAACTCGTCCAAGATTAGGTTTATGGTAGATACCGGAGCGCAAGTCAGTATAATCCCGTTCACTAAACAGGATGCTGCCAACCCAGCAGCACTGACTTTGCAGGCAGCCCACGGTACCCCTATCCAAACCTATGAACAGCGGCTATTGAACGTAGACCTAGGTTTAAGACGCGTCTTACATTGGGTTTTCGTGGT